ATTTCGAAAAAAGTGTTTTCAAATGTAAGACTTGGGTCTTGGTGTATGTCTTTGCCACCTGGTTGAGTGAATAGAAGTAGATCTTTAATATTGTAATGAAAGTTCTGTAATCTTAGTCTTCTCATTTAGAGCAAAAAAAAATATATATATATCGGGGCAGGCTGGTGGCATGGTGGATAAGGCAGCTGGATCGCACGCGACCAATTGTGTGATTTCAGCCTTGTTTCCAGTGGCTTGAAAAACAGGCCAGATGTGTATGTGTGCCCCAGATCCTGCCAGGAGGGAGAAATGGAGGAGAAGGGGTGGCAGTGTGATCATTGCCAGTGGGGTGCTTTTTCACTTCTCTCTCTCTATCTCCAAGTACACATGCCTTCTGGGAAAAATTAAAACAACTACAAAAAAAAAAACCTAAATTTTTGAGGATCTGAGTCCAAAGGTGCTTAGGAACTGGCTTTGGGAATTATGTTTTAATCTGCATTTCTTTATGGTCCCTGTTTGCAAAGATCTTATGTTCTAATAAAAAATAAATTAATTAAAAATAAATAAATAAATATAAGAGTGATTGAAAGCAATGTAGGAACAGATTCACAAACACGGATTAAATGGTCTCTGTAAGCATGGTTTGGTTGGAATGGTAAATGAGAAAAGGTAGCTGTGGAAAAGTAAAGCCATTGTTATTTCAGAACCCTTCCGTGTCAGAACAGCTTTCTTCCTATCAGTAAATCCTACTTATCTCCTTGAGCCTCAAGTTTTAAAAACGGAGAAACACCTTCCTAAGAGTTACATCATTACATTGTTTTATTCCTCAGGTCCGAAGGTTCTCCGAGGCCTTCTTTTATACGGAGCACCAAAAACCTGCAGTCTTGACCTTTCAGGAAAACCTGTAAGTAGCAAAGTGCATGCCCCCAGCACATCGTGAAAATAGCCAGCCAGGACCTTCTTGTTCAAACTCACTTCTTGACTTCTCTGTCAGTGCAGCAGAGACGCCTCCCCCCTGCACATTCAGGCTGCATCTCCTCTCGTCAGCACAAGATTAAGACAAGCTGTAGAGGTGGGAGCTGGCAGGGGCCAGAAGTCAACAGGCAAAGTTTTCTTCTGTGGAGTGTCATTATGGTTCTGTAGACAGAATCGAGACTTCCTAGGTCCCTGAAGACATCTGTGCTGTGGCTTCTTTGCAAAATGAATTAGAAGCAGGTGGTGTGGCCACAAAGCTATGTTAGAAAAAACACACAAATCGCCTGAGACTGAGATAGCTATGCAGTGCATTTAGCATAAGAATTAAGCTTGAACTACCTAATTAGAAAACTGATGAATTTCTAAATTTGCTTTCTGCCAGAACAAAAAACCTAAAGTACAAGATGCTGTGGCTTCTTTGCAAAATGAATTAGAAGCAGGTGGTGTGGCCACAAAGCTATGTTAGAAAAAACACACAAATCGCCTGAGACTGAGATAGCTATGCAGTGCATTTAGCATAAGAATTAAGCTTGAACTACCTAATTAGAAAACTGATGAATTTCTAAATTTGCTTTCTGCCAGAACAAAAAACCTAAAGTACAAGAAAGTCAGAGTTTCTAAATTTGCTTTCTGCCAGAACAAAAAAACGGAAAGTACAAGGAAGTCAGAGGGTTTTTGGAAAGATAAGGCCAACCTCCTTCACAGATTCCTGAGTGGGCAGGAGCAGAGGCTCCTCCATGGTGTTTTGGGCCTTGTCACCCAAGTCCAAGGCTCCTTTTTGTTTCTGAATGATACATGCTCAAAAATACATGGAGGGGCTAGCAAGTCATATAGTGGTTAAGGTGTTGGACTCCAACATGGTCAACCACAGTTTGAGTCCTGGACCTGGCAGTTTGAGACTTTTGCTGGGCTTGAGTGCATGTGTGTCCAAAATCCCAGGAGAATGGAGGAGAAGGGATTGTAGCATGGCCAGCCCCCTGGGGGGCGATTTCTCACTCTCTCTCTCTGTGTCTTTCTGGTGAACATATAGACCCTAGAGCAAAAACCTCTCTTAAAAATATTCCCGTGCCTTCTTTTTTAGCATAGCTGAATTCTTGTAAGTTAAATGCATAAAAGATAGTTATACACTGAGTAGATGGTGGCTTTCCTCATTAATTTAATTTTCAGTAAATTAAACTGTCATCTCCACTTCTCTTGGTTAGGTGTCAAGGATGATGTAGAGTTATAAGTTTATTTTCTTTTTTCCTTTTTTGTTTTGTTACGGGGTGTTTTGGGAGAGGTTTCTGCCATAGGATGTGTGTACTCGGCAGAAAAACAGACAGAAAGCAAGAAATCACCCCCCAGAGGGATGGCCATACCATAATCCCTTCTTCTCCATTTTCCTCTCGGAATCCTGGGCACATGAGCCACCGGGGCCAGACTCGAACCGCAGTTGACCACATGGGAGTCCAGCAACACAGCCAACTCCTGGCCCATTATTGCTGGGGTTTTTTTGAAAAAGAAAGAAGTTGGAAGCTTCCTACTGAACTGCAGAAGGAAAGACAAAGGTCAAATACCCTAGGGGCTGGACCACCGCACTGCACGGTGGTAGAGTGTGGCCCACATGAAGAAGTCACAGCTGTGCATCTGGAGGCCTGAGTACACCAGGCACACACGCTGGTAGTCACCACCTCAAGACCTCATGGGGGTGCTGCTCTCTCCCTCCCTCTCACTCTGTCCTCCTCTGTCATCATGGAACAGATGAACTTGAAGGAAAACTGTACTCATTTTTTTTTTAATCCCAGCACCTTCAGCATCTTTCCTTTGAGAAACTGTTCCTGGTCCACTCCGACCCCGTGACTTTGGAGGTGCTGCTAATCAGGGACCCTATGTGCCAGTCAG